ACTAGGATAAAGCCAATCGGTGAAGATCTTCCTTATTTTTTAACTTGGTTTTTGGTAAAAAATCGGCGATTTTCCAAAAATAATTTTTCAAAGGTCCACCATTTAGTTAATTTTAGAGCGAAGTCAATAATCCTAGTTCATACGAGAGCCAGACATGTACTCTTTCTAACACCGTTGGAATTTTCGGATTCCGATGTTCCAGTGAGGAGTTATCATGCCCGCCATCAAAAATAAGGACTTTTCTTTAATTACAAAAAACAATAACAAAAATTTTTTGTAAATTATTTTTCTTCTCTTTTAAATCATCAATTATATATGTGCAAAGTTACAAACCTTAACAAGCGTTGGTATTGATTTACCAGCCCATTGAAAATCTTGAATAATTAAAATCGTGAATATGGGAGGGGGGGGGGGGGGGTAGGGTTCCCTTAAATCAAAATTTTATTGTGAATACCCTGGCATCAAATTTTTTGTTGGTATGTTCTGCAACCCAGTGAGAATTCAAAATAAACCAGTAAGGAAAGTAGTAAAGTCGGACTGCGCCGACTATATGATGCCTACACCACTTTGGGTATATTCTACATATGTATCCTAAACGACGACACGTTTTTTGCTTTGGCAAAATGCCAAAGCATATACTTATTAATAAAAAAATATATTTTTATATTATTCTTAATTATTTCTATTCTATTGTGTTTTAATAAATGTTTATAAATTATTTATTCACTTTGTGATTTGTTTCATATCCATTATTGATCGTTTGTTGTCTCTTATATTTCGAAGTTCTGCTAGCATTGTGATTTTTCATTATCCTTGGAGAATATCCTTTAATTACTGGTTTGATTGTGGTTGTGGTTAATATTGGTGGTTTATCTGTCGTGAATTGCTTCGCGGTTGCTTTCCGTAATATCCATGGGTTTTCTGTAGGTTCATCAACAAATGGTCTTGGAATAGTTGTTGTCATTTTCAATGGAACTTTTGTTGGTCTAAATGACAATTTCAGTAGTAGTTGATTAGAAATATTATAGAGTGGTGGCTGCAAGATTGCAACTACCGACCAAGTAAATAAAATTTCTAAGAATACAAAAATGAACCTCATTTCGACTAGTTTATTATTGAGGAGTATTTCGAGTACTGAAATACGAAATGTCATTTCCATAAACATTTATAGATATACTCGTATGTATGCGGGTCATTCCATTTTGGTGTAAAGTGCATTTGGTGGGAAGGAAACACTTGTGTACACAGTAAAGAAGATATGGATTCCCCAGATGCTACCGCACATTTACATTGTGATGTTTTGTTATTTTTCAATGTGTAGAATAATATCATAATAGTAAATATTTATTTAGTATTATAAATATTATGGGAGATTGTAGTTTTGACACCCAATATGTGAGATAGATGCTTTTTTTACATTTTTAATGCAATAAGTAAGATTTGTATCTTCTATCTTGTTACGGAATATGTAATTATTATTATTATCACTATGAATATAATCTGCAGAGGATAAAAAACAATTTAGTGTACATTATAGAGATCAAAACCAAGCTTAAGATGAGCACTCGACTTTTTTTTAAATCGTTGGGACTTTAATAAGAGGATTTATACCCTCAACCTATGGTTTCGGTAGTATTCGGAATTACACACAGGTTTTCGCTTTATATAAGGTACATATCTTTTTATCAAAACGCTTTCAGATTTAATGTTGATCAAATCGGTAACGGTAAAAATTTTATAAAATATTGACCCTTTATGGAGCAGGTACAGGAAGGAGAGAGACGACTGACAAAGATAATAGGTTTGCAAAGTTTGGTTCAAATAGGACATTCCATTCGCCTGATTTGGATTTTAAAATATTGACGATTTTGACCATTTTTGGGGGGTGTACCAGAAAATGTGGACCAATGGGTCCCATCTTCAAAGATAACTTAAAATCGGACATTTCACTCGCCAGCCAAATTTCTCGATTAAAAAGTTTTCAAAGAGAAAGCCATTTTGTTTTGTGCTCCCTTAAATTTGATTGAAGGTTTTACCTGTTTTGGGGGTTCAGAAACGGTTTTCTAGTAAAAAGTCGCAAAATTTGTAAAATTAGTAGATTCTTGCAGGTTCTGGAACGAAACTACTATATGCAAAGTTTCGATGAATTCGGTTACTACCTTCGATAATTATCGCAGACAAGCGGACATTTGTAAATCTACTCCCTATGTTTTTAATCGGATTTGGTGCATAGAAACATGGGGTCTAAAATCAATATTTCGATGAGGCACATTTTTGCGAATTCTTGAAGTGAAAAATAGTTTCTCTTTGAAGAATGTATTTAAGGTAGCCATGGGCGGAGCCTCAAAATGGAGTTGAAAGAAACCAAACCTATGGGCGGAGTCTAAAAATGGAGTTAAAAGAAACCAGCCTATGGGCGGAGCCTAAAAATAGTATTTAAGGAAACCACGCCTTTCGGCGGAGCTTAAAAATTGAGTTTAAAGAAACCAAGTCTATGGGCGGAACCTACAAATGGGGCTTAAATAAACCACGCCTATATGTAAAGATACAAAATAGTTTCGAAAACCACGCCTAAAGGCAGAGATATAAAATAGTGCTGGGGCTTACAAATAGCTTTGAAACAAAAAGTCACGATTATGGGCGGAACTAAAACAAAGTTTCGGAAAAAGCACGCCTATTGGAAACCTATTTTTTGACTCTCAGCTTGATATGGCTGATGATACAATATACAATTTGCTATGATAAAATTAATCTTGGTCGAAATATCGGTTATAGACACCAAGTTTCTTTCAACTAAATCCGATTCAGACAATTTTGTATGTCTGGCCCGGCATAAACAAAAACCAGTGAGCGGAGAAGTATAGTCGTACGGGGCCGACCATATGATACCATACACAACTACCACTGTAGTTTAAGTTTCTGCGAATCTATTCTATTCCGAGCCAGGGCAATATTTACACTCTCTTGACCGATTATAGGTCAACAGCTCCATTTTCTAACCCTGACATATTTTCCAAATCTGGTTTTGTCGAGGTGAATATTTACGCAATAAAAAATTGGTCTCTTTAGGTTTTGTTTGCTTTGACCCTTGTAATATTGACCGACCATCATCTAAACAGTCATTCTAAGTATTTGGTCAGATCCCCTTTCACCATGTAAAATATGTGATGTTCTGCATGTAATAATGACCTCTAGAGCCAATAGAAAATCTGACAAAAATATAGTTTTACCAAAAATCAAAACTGGAGCTTCATGTGAAGGACATTTCTGTCCTCTATAGCAGTATTAATCAATATCAGAATACGTAGACCCTTGTAAATATTTAGGTATAACTCCCAAATCCAAGTACATCCAGCAGAATAAATGGTATCAATTTAAAGGTCAACCACCCCTCTTGGATATTTTATCAACTTCTCGGATTTATATCCTTCAAGAGTAAATATGTACGCCCCAGAATACAAATTTTGTATTTTTTCACACGGACAAAAGTAAAGTTTTTGGTCCATTTCATTCCCTGCATTACCAAAACAATAGGATTCTTCTTTGGCCAGAACCGGTCCTATAGGCAAAATTACGGGACCAATCGTCAGTATATATAACTGTGGCCTGTATCGTGTTTACATACTATAATGAACATGCGGACGGACACACATGTTTGGATCGACTCAGTTAGCATAGAGATATGACGATTGGTATACTAAAAGTGGGTCTAGGACAAATATTTCTCGGTGTTATATTTCTCATGGTTATATTTTTATCTGTCCCTCCCCTTCTGATACCTCCCCCATATGTAGCCAACTTCTCTTGTATCTTCCATACGGATGTTCAATGTATAAAAATTTGGAAGTCAGGATAATTATACCGTGGTCTCAAAAATGAGGGACTGGAATTCGACATTAGCCAAACTAAATTGTTAAACCATTATTTATTTTCAGTTGAAATTTCTGACGAAAGAGAGCAATTGGTAAAATTACACTGTGCAACCCAAAAAAATAACCAGTGTGCGGAGCAGTATAGTCGGACGGGGCCGACCATTTCTGTGGATCTATATTCTGAGCTTGGGCAATATTTCGAGATATTTGAACCATCTGGACCATCTAGAGGCCGACAATTATTACTAATGTTCAGTACAGCCCTTCTAATTACTTTTCCAGATTCCCTTCCCTTGTGTTGTGATGTTCTTATTCCCATTGGAGCCTATAAATCGACTTGAAATAACAAAAAAATAAGTTTTCGGTCCACTTCATCACAATATAATTACCTGATCGTCACCGAAAATTTTAAGCGTTATCCTTGACCATAACTGGAACTTCATGGAACATTTTAAAGCGATCAGCGCTATTTTTCCCTCTTGTGTGGTGAAGGGTTACTAAATAATATCTGAATACATAAGCACCGGGAAATGTTTAAGTGTAACTCCCACATCTGAGTACATACGTCTATATAATTGGTATCAATTTAAAGGTCAACCACTGCCCTTGAATATACCAACAGCTTTTCGGGTCTATGTCCTTTTGTCAACATTTCCCAGTAGTTTCTTTAAAGTAACATGAAACTATATTATGTTAAGAATAAAACCTTCTATATTTATATTCAATAGTTTTTAAGAATTTTACAGTATAAAATTATCTATATTAAAAACAACTTTGTCACTGACTTCAGTTAATTTTATACTTAAGTTTCTTAGAAACTATTTTTTCTCTTTCCCCAATTTTAAAAATTTATCACTGGGAGTTATACATAGTTTTTAAGGCAAAACAACGAGTGCGGGGACAGCCATAATGTTTATCTTTACACAAACAATTATTTTTATGTTGTCATTTTATTTCACTTAAATTTTATTTTATATTACACATCTTAAGCGTAATATTCTACAATAATAATAATTTACACAATAATAAATATCACTGGGAGTTAAACTTCTAGCAAATAGTAATAATAATTAACCTAAATTAAACCGCAGTCCTTTACTATGGCACATTTCCACACCAGAAATGGACGAACAAATAAATTACAAAAAAATTTAATTATAATTCAGTTCCTCTTCGCCATAATCCCATGGCATATATTCGTCATTTTCTCCAGCATAATCAGCCGAATCATCCATGCTGTCAACATCAAACATTTCTTCGTCATCCTCCTCCTCTTCGGGACAGGCAGAGCAACGGCTTTCATTGATGCCATAGTTGTAACAATTGGCACCGACGCACTCACAGCAGCCATCGTGAAACCAACGATAGCTATTGGAACCCTGGAAATACACAGAAATGGAAAAAAATATTACAAAATTAATAACAAATCCTTTTCTGTGAGGTGGCAGTTCCATGTAACTTAATTTTGCTGTGGGATACTTACCATACTTTCACAATAATCGGAACATTTTTTATTATTCATGCAATTATTCAAAAATATCACTGTGCAATTAACTGTGGTGGGTATATTCTGCAATGAGGCATCCTGATCAGCATCTTCCACGCCATATGGTGAGCCGAAGCCAAATGTCCCCGTGGCCATGTTGTAGTGACGCTGTAAACTATTGCGCATAGGAAAACGTATGGTAGTCCATTGACTATCATCCTCCTCCGCTGTTAGGGCATCAAAATACTCGGGTACTCCTTCGAAATCACCAATCTGTGATTTGGGGGCCAGTGCACTTAATGTGTCATTGTGTTTGGGACACATATCCAAGCAGCTGCAGCACTCCGTATACAATTCCCCTAAACAATTAAGGCAGTCCTTGCAGCAAAAGCAATCGGAAAGTTTGCACTGACAACTTTGTGTCAAGAGGCACTTGGATACCACAGAACCACACACAAACTCATTGCAGCCATCAGCCATGGCGGGAGTAATGATGATAGGGCAAATCAATGCCACAGCCACCACTGCACACCACACAATGCAAGGAGGAATCGCCCCCGCAGAAGACTTGCATTGGAACATATTCAAAGTGTCCTCCTACTTCGTCTTCAGTATCGACGAAAATAACAATTAGCAGCTAAAAATCCAAGAAATCGACGCACACACAAACACTATCACGCTGTTCACAACAAAGACGATTGTGTGACAAACAAATAAAGGAAAATTGATGTTGTTGTGTTGAAGATTGTCACAGAACTAAATTGAAAATTGTCCTCGGTCATTCTTAAATGAAAGGAAAAACCCCCGTTTGAAACGAGATAGAGGTAGGAAAAATGGTCAATATACAGATTACGGTGAATTTGTATGTTTCTTGTTGTTGTTGTTATTGTTGCCTTGTTTCCACAATATGTACCATTTTTTCGTTGTATACCTAGAATGAATGCCGCATGCAACAGGTAGCAGGTAATATAACGCCACCAGATTATTTTACATACACACATCTCAATAGGAGGAGGAGTGTAATGTCACCTGATAGTGATTAAAGCCTAACCAATTTTACTACAGTGATCAATAAAAGTATGTACGCGTGTGTGACATTTTAAAGTGATAGGTAGAATAATCTGTATAGGTATTTGGGCAAAAGTTAATCTGTGTGTTGTTTTATGGTCGATATATGTTTAGTCAAATTTGGCTAGGATGTTTCCACCAAAACCTTTAAAAGACTAAGAACTAAAATGTCATGAAAATCAATCGCTCCAAATTTTTTAAATAACACCCATGTGGCGGACATATAAAGTGCAGGATTTTAAATGAAGACCATGCTGTGGTAAATTGACGCCACGACAAAGCGAAATACAAAACTACAGAATTCTGATTGGAATATTTGGCTTAGACCTTGAACATAGCGAAAATGTTGTGTGGCATTAGTATGGGGCACGATAGAAACATGAACTTATATGCAATATGTTCTCTTAATTGACAATTTACAACCATTTTGTAATACTTAAAAAATCGAATATTGCGAGTTCTGCTATATAGAAACTATATGGAAATGTGTACCAATATGGAGAATTTTTGGTAGCAAGGTTTGTCACCCACTGATAAACCAAAATTTCAAATTAGACTACGGGCAATTTGGCTAGACCAACATTTTCGTATACTGATCGTCATATCTCGTCTAGTTGAGTTGATCTAGACATGTGTGTCCGTCCATCTGTCCATTGTAATATGTAAACACGATGCAGGTCACAATGAGACAGTTTCTGGCCAATGAGGACTCCAAACCTAATATCACTAAATGTTACACAGAGAATGAGTTCTGACCATGGAATAAACATGATTGTTGTTGTGATCGGTCAATATTTAGTGGATCAAATGTACCCAGACTTTTGTATGAAAATGATAAAATGTATATTCTATGGCGTATATATTTACTCCTACAGGACATAGACCCGAGAAGTTGATAGTATATCCAAGGAGATTGGTTGACCTTTAAATTGACACTAATTACATTGTTGCATGCATTCGGATGTGGGTGTTATACTAAGACACAGGTGTCTACGTGTTTTGATCAGGGTACTAATACCATTATCACACCAGAAAGCAAAAATGTGAGGAGAATTTTTGATCAAACCAGTTTTTTCTGTATGTTTTTTTTCCACTATTGTATTCGGAATATTAAACATTTTACACTACTATTAATTTAGGATCAAAAGAACCAAGACTTTTGGGTATGGTCTAAATGTTTACTACGAAAAAAAATAATAATTCGGAAAATATGTCAGGCTAAGAAAGAGGCGCCGTTGGTATCTAATCGATTAAGAGGGTGCATGTATATATATATATTTGCAGTAAATTAATGTTCGGAGGTAGTTGTTTTTATTAATTTTTTAAAGACAATTTTCAACGACTATCTTTATATTATCGGCAATAACTCTTAAGTGCAAATTAAGGGAAAATTTCAAGTCATCGCTTGGTGCTATAACCATTAAAATATCATCTTTCACTGATTGGCATTTGTTTCTGAATCTATTTTTATGACTTTTTTAATATTGTCATTGATTTCGGGATTCCTTAATATGAACCAGTAAGGAAAGCAGTAAAGTCGGACGGGGCCGACTACATGATGCCCTTCACCACTATGGGTATATTAAACAGGACTATTATCGACTTCAAACAAATATCAATAGGTCATCCTTTGGGCTATGTCTGTACTTCTAGAAAACGCAACTACTTAATTCTATGTTCAATTTTGTACGTTGTGCAAAATTTTATGTCAATCTGAAATATGGAAGTTATATCCAAATATGGAAGTTATATCCAAATATGAACCGATTTTAACGATTTATCACAGGTTAGGTTATACTAATTTCAGTACGTTTTGTTCCTATCAGCCATATATTAAATCCTTGGTGCGTCAATCTAGGCTCAATTCAGTACGTTATGCCAAATTTCGTGCAAATCGAAAGTTATTTAGGGACTATGGTGCACAATTTACCTTAAATCGGACGAAAATATATATGGGAGCTATATCTAAATCTGAACCGATTTTTCCCAATTTCAATAGGGTTCGTCCTTGGGCCAAAATGAATGAGCTGTGCCAAATTTCATCCAATTCGAATCAAAAATGCGACCTTTACTTTGTTTACAATTTAACATGGACAGACGGACGGACATGTGTAAATCGACTTAGAAAGTGATTCTATGCATATTCTCAAAAGGAACCATGGGTCTATCTCGATTCCTTTTGCCTGTTACAAACATATGCACAAAGACATAATACCCTGTACCACAGTGTGGTGAAGGGTATAAAAAATTGCATTAATCAATATGACAAATACTTTTGTATCTAAATGTATATACACACAGTGTAAATAATACAATCCATGTATTTTCTAGATGGAAAATGGATCAGATATATTGACATGTCCAATGATTTTGTGAAAAATTGAGGGATATTTGATTAACAAAACAAGTTCAATATAGTTCCATATTTTGTATGTGATTACTTTGTAACAAAGATGGTCAAATGTTCTCTTAACAAAGAGAAAATGAAAATAAGGATTATTTTGCAGGATATAATTAAGATAAATTAAAAAATAAATAATATCCGAAAAAGTGTAAAAAACAACATCATTATAACATTCCGAAAAACTTTTCGTTAATGTTTATTTTTGTTTTAATAATAAAAAACCTCTTACAAGAACGCATCGACGCTGGTGTGCTAGCCTGCCATTTTTTACTTGGTAACCTTAACTCAAAAATATAAACCGAAATAAGCGATTATCTGTGTACGTACATATGTTACTCATATTTCAATTACCTACAGTCACATCTATTGACAATTCGACTTGTGTCATAAAAAGAGTTTGATGTTCACCTAGTCACAGCAAACTCCGTGTGTGACTAATAATTAGTAGGAATTTCGATAGATAAGGACAATAAGAATATCGCATCGTTTGTACAAATTCTTTGTAATAAGATTAGGTAGACAATACATTATGTTTTTTATTACCGTCACAATAATTGTTTAGATAGTATTTTTAATGACCTGTTGTAAAATGTTTGTTTTGCGGTTTCAAGGACATAGAACGTTTGATTTTTATCACGTATTTGAAATTGTATTTCGAATTGTGGTTATTCGAATATTAACTTCACAAGGGAAATATAACTATATTTTATTATTTTCTGTCTGGGTTTAGAACTTGCTATTAATTCGACCAATAGTTTCCTCGGTTTTCCGATATTGTGCGTAATTTTTGAGTTGACATGTATTTACCAAAATCGATTTAGGAATATTTTTGTATAATATTTTGTCCTTCTAATTTGTTCATGTTTTCTTAAACTGTGATCTTATTACCTAATTAATACGAAAATGTTCCCTCCGGAAAATTGTGCAGTGTAAGTGACGATATTGACTTTTAATCTAATGTCAATTCTCTTGATAGAATTATTAGCATTATAACACTAGAGGATGTAAATATCGCTTTTCGCAAAATATTGTCTAGGCTCGGAATATAGATGCGCAGAAAGTCGGGTTCGCTCAAATGTACTGCTGCACCCGCAGTTGTTATACCCTCCATCATAGTGTTGAGGGTTTACTACCTTTGTTTTTCCGTTTGTATTTCATCGAAATAATCATATCCGACTCTATAAATTTCATATATTCTTGGTCAGTGTAAAATTTTTTTTAAGCCTGTCTATATGTTCTTGAGTACGCTTTTCAACCGGATTCACTGAAATTTACTACAATGTGTTCTTATTAGGTACCAAATCGCTCTACTAATAATTTTTCAAGCGAATTCAATTTAATATGATTTGTAGTCCTATTTGGTAAAAAATCTCGCTCCTAAAAATTCCAACATAGTATGGGGCATATACTGTATTCGAAATTGTCAGTTTATACCCTACAAAGTATGGAATTCAAAGACGATTTAGCCATCTATTGCAGTCATTCTACATTTGGAGGATATCGAGATAAAAGACAAGAACGCCATGTTCGAGAATGAAAATATATCGACCCTATATACAAATACCTACCGATTTAATATTGGTTGAGGAAAAATAAATCTATTATTTCCATTATTATGTCCGATTATGCAACGTTTGGTTGTCTGATTTGTTGTCGTTTTAAAGGTAACTTCATAATGCCTTTATTTTTTTTCACAATCCTTGCTAGATACCATTTTTTTGTTCATTAAAGAAATTTTGCAATGCAAAAAAAGATGATAATCGTTTGGTGTCAAACTGTACGGCGGATGCATTAAAACTTCCCAACCAAGCTCCCGAAGTTTCTGGCGAGTCACTGTAGATGTATGTGGCCTAGCGTTGTCCTAGTGGAACACGAAACCTCTCCTGTTGGCCAATTCTGGTCGTTTCTGATCAATTGATGCTAATAGCTTGGTGCCAAGTCCAGACTGTATGGCGGGTGCATTAAAACATCCCAAAGTTTCTGACGAGTCAACGTAGATGTGTTTGGCCTAGCGTTGTCCGTTGTTTCTGGTCAATAGTAAATGA